GGGGCCCCCCCCCCCTTTTGTTTGTTGTTTTTTGTTTTGTTTTCTTTTTATTTTTAATTTATTTCTTTTTTAGTTTTATTATTTTTTATTTATTTATTGCGGTAGTATATAGAGGGGCCCCCAAACTCAACAGACAAACATCAGCATGAGCAGCTGCAACTGAGGGGGCCCCCTCTGTACCCTGGGGGCCCCTACTGTACCCTGGGGGCCCCTGCTGTACCCTGGGGGCCCACACAGTACCCAGGGGGCCCCCAGTGCTTCAGAGGGCCCCTGCGGTACCCTGGGGGGCCCCTGCTGTACCCAGGGGGGCCCCTGCTGTACCCAGGGGGGCCCCTACAGTACCCTGGAGGGGCCCCCCGTGCGGAGCTGTATATCTCATGAAGGCGCAAAGAAGAGTAGAGCAGCAACACTTGCTGCTGCTGCTGCTGCTGCTGCTGCCGCTGCTGCTGCTGGTTTCTGCTGCTGCAGCACTGCCAATACACAACACACAAGGGGGGGCCCCCAAAAGGAATTGTTTAGGGTACTGGGGGGCCCCCCTTAATGCGGCCTTGCTGCCTCCTGGCTTCATCACAGCAGGCATACACACACAGCTTAGCAGCAGCAACAGCAACAGCAGCAGCAGCAGCAGCAGCAGCAACAGCAGCAGCATTATCAGCAGCAGACCTTATACCACAATCAGCAGCAGCAGCAGCAGCAGCAGAAGAAGCAGCAGCAGAAGCAGCAGCAGCAGCAAAAACGACGATATGGATGCCGCTCCCGCGAGCAGCACCAGCACCGCCACCGACACCACCAATACCACCAGCAGCAGCAGCAGCAGCAGCAGCAGCAGCAGCAGCAGCAGCAGCAGCAGCAGGAAGGGGGTGTTAGTACCTAGGAGGCCCGGTAGGGGCCCCCGGCTGCCCCCCCATGAGCCCCATCGATATATTCACATGCGAGCAGCAAAACAAATAAAAAAATATTTTAAACGCGTTTCTCCTGCTGCTGCTGCTGCTGCTGCTGCTGCTGCTGCTGCACCAGCAGCAGGAGAAGGGGTATGTATAGGGGAGAGAGCAGCAGCAGAAGCAGCAGCAGCAGCAGCT